CACACACACACACACACACACACACACACACACACACACACACACACACACACACACACACACACACACATACATACACACGCGCACACACACACATATATATATATATATATATATTTTTGGATGCTTGGTTTGTACAGAAATTAACCATTTATACACTGGTCTTTTTTTAGAAATGTATCTCGATAGGTATTGGAAGTCATTTTCGAAAGTTTTGGCCAGGCTTGAATTGACGTCGTAGCCAGCCTAAATAATCTATGCTTTAGGTTACATTGCTATCTACCAGGAGGTGCTGTGAAATTTGTTTAAGAGGCACCTGTACGCAGGCCATGGATGCGATTGCTTCGCTACTTTATATGCTCGTCTAGTTTGTGACAAAATCCTATAAGGTGTATAAAAATCGCGTGTCGATCTGCTTTTGTTCCAATTTTAATACTCTCACTATATTTATTTGCGTTTGGTGGATCTCATGATCGTCTGCAATCGACATGACTTGATATGGACCTGTTCCAGAGTTCTTGTGGAGTCAAAATTTGTACGAGTGTGTGCCTTTGATTGCCCAGCCACCGTATCAAGTGGTGGATTGTCATGCCTCTTGACTACCAACGCTGGGAGAATTCATTCCATCAATCTCTCCTATTAATATAGTTTCTCGCATCACATTATACATGTTGTTTCTCACGAGCGGGCTCATATCCTTTGCGTTATCCGGTTGAACACAATGTATACCTCGTTCTCTCATCTGGGAATAACTTCTCCTGTGCAGGGCTTTACAGGGCGCCTTGTTCATCAACTCACTCTTTGGATTTCTCTCCGGCTTCGCGTCGTCTACATCAGTGTTGGTATTCCTGCGGTTTTTGAGTGGACTTGGGTATGCAGTAGCTTGCAAGATCCACCTACAGATTAGCTTACCTTGGGTTGCACTCCGGTCTTATGCATTCGTCTATAGTATTAATGGTGCGCGCTTGATGACTACACTCAGGAATATAGTAGTCTATGTATGTACGTGCGTAAATTTTTTTTGGGGGATTTTCTCATGTGATTGCCCATTTCAATCTGTGCGTATTGATTTGTTTTAGATATGAGTCTTGCTGAAGCAAGAATCAAATCACGGTGTCGTGGAACTAACGTAGCTCTACAGCCAGTTTCCTTTGCGCACTCTATGCTTGTCGTCTTTTTGCAACCCTTCAATGCGAAATGACACCCACAATTGTAAACCGGTAGTACTTTTTCACCCAAGTATGGCTTTCCCACATGCGTCTATCACAGGGTGGGTGGCTCAATACCAGTAGTGTGGTCGTATCTCTGCGAGTTTATCCCCGCCACACAGCGGGGGCGGTGGCTATCGTATCTCGCCACTGCATGGATGGTCGGGGCTATCATGTGCACCGCAACAGCGTGGTAAGCTACCCGGTTGAATCCCAGCCCTTGTATACGCTGGCGCTGTTGATGTGTCTTGCCTTGCATGTATGTGAACAGTTTTCTTGGTTAAAAGCCTGTTTTGTGTTGTTACCGCGGATTCATTGGTGATCTATATTGCGATCGTGGGTGACAGAACTAAGTTCACCCTGATTTCCTCTTCCGAATGTAGTAGTATTCATTTACCACCGTTCAGTCGAGTGAAGTTTGTAATGAATTATCTGCTTCAGTTATTTAGCTAACATGATGACTGTAGTATCGTCTGAATACGTGAGTTTGTTTTTAACTTTTGGGCCAATTATAGTCCACTCCAGTATAAGGCACTCATTGCATGTGTGCTATCTCCGAGTTCGACAGAAATGGAACAGTTTACCTTCGTGTACTAAATACTCGACGGTCATCTCAGGGTGCTAATCCCCAGTCTCGGATGGCGTGCGTTTGTGTGTGCTACCGCGATTCCGAGTGGCGTGTGCGTGGTCTCACTGCAGTTCTGCGATGAAAGCCCAAAGTTCTTAGTGGTCAACGGCAGTGTTAGCGAAGGAGAGGACATACTGAAGCGTGTATATCGGTAAGTAGTGGTCACACACACACACACACACACACACACACACACACACAC